CGTATTTATCTAAAATATAAGCGTATTTTCTTAAGCATGTGTTTATATAAAAGAAAACATTTCTCTGCAGCAGGCAGTTTTTATAAGAGAATATGTGATAAGTAGATCATGGGGGGGGTGGTAAGTAGAAAACGAGAGTGGAGGTATAGATGGTGATAACGGGGGGTGGGGTGGGGGGTATGTGGGTGAACGTGGAGGAGAAAAAGAAAGGGAATTTAGTATAGCCACTTCTCTCATTGGTTTTGCAAATATTTTATAACATCTGGTTTCACAATAGTTGGATTACATAACACAGTGCTTAGCTTCTTAATGCTTTTGTTAAAACCACATAGGATTGTCTGTTCTGCAGTCACTGACTTTTTGCATATTTAACCAAGAACACAGTCATCTGTGACAAAAAAGCTCAGCCTGGTCATGTGGGTATCAGTACACTCCACAAGAGTATTCATGATTACATAGCATGGAATATTAGTGCTTGTCATGGCATCCAAGAAATGGATTAATTTTGTTGCTAATAATAAATTTCCCACTTATGCTGCAGAACATAATTTAAAATCATTTTTCTTTTTGACAATTTTAAGATGCTGTATTTTCTTGCAACTATGAAATACCTTCTTTTTTAGAAATGAAGAAATAAATACAGGTAGTGGTTTCTTAGAGTTCTATAAAATAATTTCATTGCATGTTATTTTATTTTATTGCAAAACATGGAAGTGGGAGAATGCTTATTAAATTTAAGAAATTTTGTATTAAAGCACATACCCTGCCTGTGTCCTGACCGGAAAGCAAACTGTGCCCTCCTGGCTCATAGGTCAATACTCAACCACTGAGCCACACCGGTTGGGCTAATTTATTTCTTGATAAATGATATCAGTGTACACATACTATGTCTCAATCATTCCGTGCAGCACCAGGGATTTAATAACCTACCTTTCAAGTAATGTTGATAGAAAACTTACTACTCTATAGAATATAAATGATGTGATAAGTGCTCTCTGAGGACAGAGAAGGAGATTAGCTTAACCTTGAAACTTTAAGGCTGGCTTCTCTGAGCATGCTTAAGGGTAAAGTAAATAAAGGTACAAAATATTATATTTACTCAGCCTCAAAGAGGAATATATAAAAAAAGACCCCGAGTTAAATGAAGGAATGCATTTTAACAACTAATTATAGTTCAATATAGGGCAAATAGTCTAACAGCATGTGAGGAATGCATCTTATCTAATTGCCACAGGAAGAAGGAGATTAAATGAGGTAAAATAGGGGAGTAGGGAGTGGGAGAGTGAAAGAGGAAGAGAAAGAAGTAAAATTAGGTCAGAGCAGGAGAACTGGAAAGATTAAAAAAACAAATGTTAGAGGCACCAGATATGACACTTGTTGCTACAAGTGAGTTTTGAGAAAGTTGAGAATCAGAAATCAATCAGTGATAGCAATAGGGATCTTACAAGAGAATTATGATCCAAAGGATAAGGTCAGAATAATTTTAGGGACTTTTTAAAAATGGTAAAGACTGTTGGTTCTCTTAGGTTTCTTACACTTAAGGACTATCTATAAAAGAAAATATTGCAGCTATTTTTTAAAAATTATGGTTTAGTTATTTCTGAAGAAAAATTATATAAATAGAAACACTTTATGCAAATATTAATTATGGAAAGTTGTACTATATTATTTTCAGTATTTATACATTAAATATTCAGTGAAATTCAATGTCCTTATTAATTTATTAGGTTAATTTACATTTATTACTCAAAAGACACGTTTTGAATTCTTCTTCAATACAAATAGTTAGGTTACAAATTTATACCATTTTTAATTATCATAATTTTCTTTGGCTTAATTCTTCTAAAAGCCAGATTAGTAATCTAAGACATAATCATGAGTTTGGCTGCTTTGATTATAATCAATTGGGACGTTTGCCATTTCTAGACATTCTTGATCATGTTACTCTTATTTATTTATTTACTACATCATTTACTACCATCTGAATTTATATCAGTCATTTACTTATGTTTTCTTCTGTATTTTCACTTTGTAAGATCACGGATTGATCTGTCTTGGTACTACTCTATTTCTAATGCTTATTTAGCATAACATTTGCCATATAGTAAGTGATCCATAAATAATTATTGAATATACCTAATCTCTTCATTATCAAGTGTTGATTCTTACTGAATGCACACATAACTGCTTGCCTTCAAATGACCATGGTGATTTGACAAAGAGATAACAATTAGTTATATTTTAAAAATCCTCCTTTAGTATTTTATAAATTAACTAGGGGCCCAGTGCATGAAATTCACACATGGGTGTGGTCCCTAGGCCTAGCCGATGATCAGAGCCAATCTGTGGGGCAACCAGGGGGGCAAATGGACCCCCACTGGCACCCGCCTTGGCGCCGGCACCACCTGCTTGCCATCCCCTCCCCCCACCATTGCGACTGGTTATCTCCCTCTGTGGGGCGACCAGTGGGGCAATCAGGGTAGCGGGGGCAACCGGCACCTGCCTTGGCTGGCCTGGGGCCTGTGGGTTGGGGGCAGCTCCTGCATTTAGTATTTGCCCCCTGGTGATCAGTGTATGTCATAGCAATTGGTCAACCAGTTGACTGTCCCCTGGTGGTCAGTGCACATCATAGCAAGCGGTTGAGTGACCTTAGTATACCATTAGCATATTACTCTTTGATTGGTTCAACAGACGACTGGATGACTGGACACATAGCATATTAGGCTTTCCTTATATAGGATTCTTTAAAATAATTAGTTTAATTGAATCTTTCTAGGTGGCATGTATTTTCCATCTTCCATTTCCAAGATCTCCTCTGATACTATGTAAAATATGGTACAAAGATAAGTAGATTCACTTACTAGAGTTCTACAGAAACCATACAGTCATACTGTGTAAATCGTGTTTAAGTAGCAGGTGACTCCACTTGGGAAAGTCCATATGACTGCTTTAGAAACAGTGAAGATGCTTTTCTTGTCTGCAGCAGAGGGGTGCGGGGCACAGTTGCTTTCCAGTTCAGTGTACTGGCTTATCCACCACTTGGCTTCATGAGCTGAAGCACTGAAGGTATCAGGAATATCTTCTTAGTTCCACCCATGTTAATCTGCCATTATCTGATCCACCTCACCTCAGGGACATTATACTCCAGCTACTGCAGTTCTAATATCTTCAGTTCCTCCTTTGTCAATTTCTGAAGGTAAATTTAGGCTCCAACCTATCGGGCCTTAGTAGCTATTACTAGTTTCAACTACACTTTGTTGGTGAAATTATCTTTGACGTCCCTGGGATACATGGGCATTTATCACTTTTATTGTTCTTTTAATCTTATTTCTTATCTTACTTTTCTTGTTGTCCTTGTTGGGGTCCTTCTCATTTATTGGATCTCTCCAAACTCTGTACTCATTATATTTAGAAATGTATACAGCCTGTCAAAAATAATTTAAAATTTTGTGAATAGATATTTATGCTTATCAAATTAGGGAATTAAAGAGAAACATTGTACAACAAAATCTGGCATGAACTGTGCTACTCTATTGAAAATAAAATTATATCAAATCAAAATTTTTAAAATTGTGTTGCTATTTAAACCGAACCAACCAACAAGCAAACAGAAGTAAACATAACTTGTATATTTTCTGAAAGCAATGAAGTGAAATTTTATAATTTGATTTTTAAACTTCTGTAGGTGAATTACATATATTTACTAAATTCAAATATGAAAAACCAAGCGGCTTGAACAATAAATAGAAACACCACTATAAAATAGAAAATAGAGCATTGATAGAGAAAAGTTAAAGATGCATTCCAAAGGAAGAGAAATGAGAAATGTTTGGAATAAAACCCAGCTTGTTCATGTCAGAATGCAAGAAAATTGGGTTTTATAGTATGTTTCCAAGCCCATCCTCTATACCCAGGGGTACACTTATACAATAAAGGTGGTTTCATATGTCCATGACTTAGCTCATGATCATTCATTATAAGGTAAGGGAAAAGAGTTGTAATCACCACACACACACACACACACACCTAATTTGCTTTCTGATGAAGCAAAACAAAAGTGTAAGCTTTGCAGAATGGAAAAGATACATCACATACTGTTTATTAGAACACTTCAGTCTAAAATTCCCCTTAACTATGTAATAGTATTTCTTTTGAGAATATTTTACGTTGGCTTTGTAACATACACCTAGAAACATATAGGGCATAGTTTCAAGATCTTGCTTTACGGGCCTTGTTTTAAAGAGATTATGAAATGTTTTCTTTATGACAGGCTATGTAGAGACTAAATACAGGGTGTCTAAAAAATGTATACACATATTGTAACAGCTGATAGTTCCATTTTGAAAATGAAATGCATTTAAAAAAATACTGCCTTTGTAATTATTCAAAGTGTGTGTATGCATTTTGGGGACACCCTAAGTATAAACCCAAAATGCCATGTTTTCTGTCTGTCAATTGGAGCAGACCTTCAGTGCATTATAGGAAATTTTAATAATAAAAATTTATAGTATTGTGAAGTTACATTAAAATAGTTCTATCCTATGAAATTGAATTGTAAAGTTTGTCATCCAATGTGAAATAGTGAGAATTTATTAGTTAGAAAAAAGTATAACTACTGCTTTGAAGTCTTTCTGTTTTGTAACTATACTATATCAATACAAACATTGGAAACACAATGAGCAGCACCATTAAGCTCAGTTTCCATTATATTTATTATTACATATGCAGTCAGTTTGGGTGAATCAAAAATCATATGTAGGTTACTGTTGAATTTATAAGTGTATGCAACATAATTGGAACAATGGGTGTTTGGAATTTCACTATTTTATGATTGACCTTTATATACCTAAAACAACTGTTTCATTTTTCATAAAAAAGTTGATGCAGAGTCATGGATATTGTATACATGTATATAAATTCGGGAGGGGTCCCAACTCAGTAAAATTGTTTAGTGCTGCAAGGCTTTTTAAATGTTTTTGTTGTTGTCTTCCATAATTCAGGTTATCTGGAATGAATATACCACCACCAATTATCAGCAACAAAAACTGGCTCAGACTGCATTTTGTTACAGACAGCAATCACAGATATCGTGGATTTAGTGCTCCGTATCAAGGTATATTTGATGAATACTTCTGCCTCCTTTGATGTGTAGAATGTTTTTGGTATACACAACTGCATTTTGTGATAGAAGCAAAATATCTTTAGCATTAACAAGTGGTAATTTGAATAAGCAAAGATGGACATTGTCTTGCTATGGCAGTGATGTGATCATCACTAAATTACAGTATAAAAGTTGATTTTCATAGCACAATGTTTAGAATAAAGGATATTATGACCTCTAAAGGTCATATGTGACAGATGTTATATTTTACTTTCATGAAGTGCTCCAGCAATTGGACATGCTACCTAAAGCTGCATCACACAACACTGCAAAAAACTCGCAGTTGTAAATAGTCTTTTCATAAATTGAAACTCCTTTTCATATACAGTGTGTCTGCTATTGCTAGTTTAATTAACCTTTTTGGGGGGTTTATTACCTAACATTTAGATGAAGAGGCATATTTTTGAATAAGTAGGATATAATATTTGATGCATTCACTTGAAAACACTTTGTTTAGGACAAGATTGTTATGAAGATGGAGTACTAATGAAACTGTAGCTTCTACAGTGTTTAGTAATACTATGGGCTTAGTGTACTTGATCCTCAGACTATTATGTAAATAATTCATTTCATTCTCAGTAGTGTATCAGCTACTGTTCAGGGAATGGTGAGCATTGCCACAGTTACATTTTTCCATTTATCTGTTTGTTTTATTTAATGATTTCCGTTTAGTAGTCTTCAAACTTAAGTGCTTTGAAAACTTAATATGGTGACTTTAGCCAGCTTATAATTAATATCTAAAATAGTATGAGACCACATATTATTTTCTGGAATACAAATTTCAGCAACCAATTTATATTTTGAGGACCAGCATCCTCTCTTTAGAGTCCTAACAATGAATTTTTTCACAATAATAGCAACACATTAATGTGATGGTATCTTGCCCCTTATAATAGTGCATTTGCTGTCATTATAATAAAATTCACTGAGAAAGTAACGTAACTTGAAAGTAGAGGTTTTACATAAAATTCACAATAAAAAATCTGTAATTTCTATTTCTAATGTAGTTAATTCAAATAGAAACATGAATGCTCTTAATGCTATACATTTTATTAACATTTCTCAGAATATATTACTCACCTTAGAACACTATATTTTAAAATTAAAAATTAAATATTCATAGATATTTTATTTTTATATCTTATTAAAAATAACCATTAAAATCATAGTAACTTGAATCTTACCCTTTTAATCTAATGTCACTTTTAATAGTGAACAACACTTTGAGTTTCCTATTTTAGCTTCAAAAGTGCCTGTGCCCTTCAGAAATCAGAGGGCTCTTTTATTGAAAAGAAGTAATTGTTGTGGAGCCTCTTTTTCTCTAGGTTCACCCATTCCCTTGAGTTTTCCAACCACATATTTTTATGGCTCTGATTCCCCACTGCCCTGAGTTAAGGCCGATGGCACTGCAGAAATGCAAGACGTGTCATCTTTGACTCATGTGGTCACTGAACCTTTAAATAAGACGGCTCCTCTTCTTTATCCTAGTATAAATAAAATAACACTTACTTTGTATTTAAATATAAATTTATTTTTTGCTGCAAGAAAGCCAGATCTCTCTCTCAAAAATAAAATGGTACCTAATTTGTTTTATGCCGTATAGTTTCATGAAACTAGTATCTGCAGATGGGGTTATTTAGCATTAAAAGACAGCAGTGCACAGCTGCGAGTAGATTTGTGCATTTAATTATTATTTTTAATATTCTACTTGCTGATCTTAAATTGAGTTTTATAGTACTTTCAGGGTTCAGTTTTATTTTCTGGCATTGCCTCGCTTGTTTCATCATTGAAAAATAGCACATCAGTGAATTGACTGTAGTAAAATAGTAAGGAAGTGTTTTATGGGGTATGAATTATTTCTATTTCCGGCAGGGAAAGGAGCTTAAAATGAGATAATTTTGGATATAATCTATATCTACCCAATATAGAGGAAATAAAGTGGCCTAACAGAAAAAAGCAATGATTTTGTAATAAGATCAAAAAAGTTTTATTACATAAAAATACACCTTTGTATTGTATCCTTTTAAGCCTTTCCTGATTCAGATTTGACTTTCTAATTGTATTATCTCCAAATAATATTTTACCTACACAACATAAATTCAGTTGGATAAGTAATTCTTAAAACTAAAATAAAATAAATTTGGTTTGAGAAACAAACTATCTTAAGTAGCTATGAAAATAATAATTCTGACATGTTGAAATGCATGCCCCAGCATGAAGTGGTGATCAGGCATTTTAGATCCTCCCATGCTACCATTTAATTTCAGTGGTATCTAAATTACAGTCAAATTAAAACCAATTCAAGGTAGAAAATTTGTGGAACATACTATACAGTAGTCACAACCAAGTCTCCACGTATCAGTTTCTTAATAAATAAAATTTTTAATCAGCAATTAGTATTGATTTATCAATTATTTTTAATATTTAGTACTTTACTGGAGCTTAGGTTTCCTTATAGCATTTCTATTTAACCTGCGGTCTTATAAAATACAATAAAAATTAACTGTATATTACTATGAGTTCCTAAATGCCAGTAGATATTTTTATATAATTGATTCCAAATGTCTAAATATATTACTATCTCTATATTATAGATTAAGTCTTCTAAATCAATTTATAGTTGATCCTCATTTTGATTTTTAAAGGGTTTTCCCATATTATTCATGTGATTCTTCTTATGCAGGTTAATATTTTGGAGATTGTTATTTTCAATGTAACAAAGATACATTAATAATTATATGGACCATTTTATATTTATGAATAAAATATTTTATATTTGTTCTCAAAGGAGTTATAGTAATATTGGTATCACCTGTGTATTTTTTGGCAAGAAAACATATTTAATGGACCAAATTTTCAAATTGTATTAAAAATACACTGCCATTACACTCATTTACACAGAGGCCCTTGGCATTTTAGATGTACATAACTTATAGGAAGATAATTTAGGGGCACAGTTAGGCGTCGATCAGGCTGGCAAGGGACTGGCTAAGTGGTGATCAGGCTGGCAGGCAAAGCGATTGGGGGCAATCAGGCAGGCAGGCAGGTGAGCGGCGGGAGCCAGCAGTCCCGGATTGTGAGAGGGATGTATGACTGCCGGTTTAGGCCCGATCCCATACTTTGCATTTGAAATGTTTTGACAAATTTATGTACACAGTTACTGAACAAAGGTAAATATGATTATTGGGGATTCAGCATAGAGTAATAAAAAGAGTAGGATTTGGAGTCCGAAAATGAGGGTTAAATTATGAAGTTACTAATTGCTGCTTGAGTTGTCTGAGCTTCAGTTTCCCCATCAATTAAAATATTCACAATAGCCAGATACTGTTGTTGTATAAAGCAAAAGGTATTAAGATTTCTAATAGTGAAAGTTGGGCATGCAGTGAATAAATGCACTTCAGTGGAAAGAGGTAATCAACCATTTGGAATGGTGAGAAACACTTTTCAACCATGAGGTATAACATATTTAAAATTATGATCAAACATAAAATTTAAATTCAGTAAACAATTAAAAAGGGAAAACACTGGGTTTTATATTTCTCACTATCACAAATGAGGCAGCCCATATTTTCTAGAGAAAAAGCACTTTTCAACTTAGAACTCATTTAAACTAAGATTTATTTTCTAAAGTAAACAGGAGAAGCAGTTTCATTTGTATAAGTGAATTTTTAAAATCACACTTATAGCCCAGAGCACAGCATTAAAGCAACCTCTTTAATTATATATGTTTTTCCAATTTTGTTTAGACATCAGGTTTTTTTTGTACCTTTATACATCCACTAGAGGCCTGGTGCATGAAATTCATGCACTGGGGGTGGGGGTCCCTAAGCCCAGCCCACACCCTCTCCAATCTGGAACTCCCTGGGGGATGTCCCTGTGGGATCGGACCTAAACCGGCAGTCGTACATCCCTCTCACAATCCGGGACTGCTGGCTCCCAACCACTCGCCTGCCTGCCTGCCTGATTGCCCCCAATCGCTTTTGCCTGCCAGCCTGATCACCACTTAACCAGTCCCCTGCCAGCCTGATCAACACCTAACTGTGCCCTTGCCAGCCTGATTTTGCCCAATTGCCCTCCCCTGCCGGCCCGGTCCCCCCCAACTGCCCTCCCCCGCAGGCCTGGTTGCCCCCAACTGCCCTCCTCTTCAGGCCTGGTCCCCCACAACTGCCCTCCCCCACAGGCCTGGTCCCCTTGCAGGCTTGGTCCCACACAACTGTCTTCCCATGCAGGCCTGATTGCCCCTAACTGCCCTTTCCTGCTTGCCTGATCACCCACAACTGCCCTCCCCTACTGGCCATCTTGTGCCCACATGCGGTCAGCCATCTTGTGTGAGAGCATGATGGTCAATTTGCATATTACCGCTTTATTATATAGGATTGCTAATGAAAGATTGCAAGTCATATTCCACCATTCTAATTATAAAACCCCTCCTCTAATTTGATAACTGTCAGTGTGTCATGTTTTGATTTCAAGATTGGTGGTGAAAAAGTAAATAGTGAAGATCAAAACTTTGGGTTCAGATAATGTAGGTGTAGTTCACTGTCATGGGAATGTTGGGCATGGGCAAATAAACTTTTCCGGTAAAGTCAGTGAACAGGGCTTTGCCAGCACAATTCAAGAAGTCTGTACGAATATGTATTTTTTCATATTATAGTATTTATTATTTAATTTTTAGTGAGTGCATGCTGTGAGAAAATTCATAAACACTACTGAATCCTTAACTCAAAAAATCTCCTTTCCATACATAGACAAACTGCATTATTTTAAGTTTGTGAAGTAAACTATTTTTATTTACTATGTTTTGACAGAATAGAAAGGTGAGTTTCATTGGTGTTTAGTGTTTGAGAATAATTTCAAATCTGTACTTTGTTTTCTTTTCTTCTGATTATTATTATTATTTACATAAATTTTCTTCAAATCTCTCTCAATTCAAAATAATTACTTTTACCTGG